TATTTTTCTTTTTTGGTTTTTGCTCTGATGAGATCCTTTAGAGGCAGGGCCATCAACAATCCATATGGTCCCTTTGTACAAATTAGAAAAAGGCACTCCTTCCTTAAAAACCATCAGTACTGGCTGGGTACAGTGGCTCATGCCTGTAATCCTAGCACTTTGGGAGGCCTAGGCAGGAAGATTGCTTGAGGTCAGGAGACCAGCCTGAGCAAGAGGGAGACCTCATCTTTACCAAAAATAGAAAAATTAGCCAGGTGTGTTGGCACACACCTGTGGTCCCAGCTACTCAGGAGGGCTGAGGCAGGAGGATTGCTTGAGCCCAGAAGTTTGAGATTGTAGTGAGCTATGATCATCACCACTATACTCTAGCTGGGGCAACACAGTGAGACCCTGTCTCAAAAAAGAAACAAAACCAAAAAACCATTACTACCATCTGCCAGAAAAAAGTGTTATGGTAAACATACAAATCTATGTTACAGTATGAATGGCCCTCTGATACTGTATGTTGCCTGTACAACTGTAAATGGTAGCCCTGCTTAGAAGCTATTTCCCTTATCCTGCAATAGTTTCCTTTGTGTAAAATGGAAATGATTACTCCTACAGGGTAACAAATAATATAAAATTGTCTTCCTGTTTAGAAGATACCACGTCCAGTTATTGATACCTATTAGCCAAAATTTGTTTAAAATTTAGATTAAAGTCAATGTAATTTTTGATATTAAATTTATGACTGCTCCTATTGAACTATTATTTACAGTATTTATATATAGGAACTTTTTGAGTAACATTAAATATTAACCTTGGACCTGCTTGCAGATTTTTTGGAAAACAGTGTTCTTAGCTTTAAATGTTTTTAAAGGTGAGTTTTATATATATATTTTTATTTTTTAACCCAAGCTCTCCATGGTTAATGGTAGTTCGAATTTTCTTAATGTCTAGCCTACTAATTCATGCCATTTAAAGATTGTCTCTCTAAACATCTATACCCCCATAATATGCTGAAATAAAAAAAAAAAAGTAAAAAAAAAAAATAAAGGTTGTCTCTCCATTGTGTTGATTTGTTAATTTTGTAAATTTAATATTATAAATATATTTGCTCAACTTGAATTTAGATGTAATAATGTACAGCTATACATTTATTTAGGTCCTGTATACTTATCTAGGGGATTCTTTTAAATATAAGAGAAAAAAATAAGCTGAGTAATACATAATCTGAGTCTGTTAAATGATTGTTATGTGCTAGACACTGTGTTAAATGCCATGTATTAATTACTTGTTGATTCCTACAACCCTAAAACTAATAATATAATAGCAGATATTTTATTTTGCTCCCTCTGTGGGCCAGCCTGTATTCTAAGCTCTTTATTTATATTAATGTATTTATTCTTCACAACAGCCTGATCCAATGAGATGTAGATACTGTTGTTACTCTTTTTTAGAGGAGAGAAAACTGTGAGGCACAGAGGTAAAGGAACTTATGTAGGGTCACACAGCTAATAGGAGGCAGAGTTGGGAGTCAGTCCCTGGCAGTTTGGCTTTAGAGCCTGCATGCTTAACGAACTGACCCTGATTGTAGGCTGATATTAATAAATAAATGCTGTTTGCATTTCATAGATGGAAAAATTGAAGGTTAGTGATATTAAGCAACAGATTCAGGGTTGCACAAATACTGTGTCAATCAAGTTTCAGTTCTAAGATCTATTTGACCGCAAAAGGGGGAGATTATATCTGTCCAAGAGGGTCTGGCAAACTTAATTTGAAGATGGGGTTTGATCAGTGCCATGAGTTCATTGCCGTCAGCATGAAAGTGAGAAGCTGTGATTCTTGTTGGGAAACATTGAGCAGTCAGATTTAGCAGAAGTATACAGGGACTTAATGGCAGAAGTAAAGGTGGAAAAGTAGGAGGGGCTAGATCATGGAGAACCTTAACATAGGACTAAGGAAATCAGACTTTAGGATATGATGGGAAACCATAAACCATTCACTTGGTTTCTTTTGGTATTATCTCTAGCTAATCTCATTGAAATACTCTGTGCCTTTAAAAAGAGAAAAGATAATACAAAAACCTGGGCTTTCTATCATTGACACCAAAAAAAAAAAAAATCGGTCTCTTAATTCAAGTGAAAAATACAGGCTACCTAAGTTTTCACTTGTTTTTCCACTATACTTCAAGCTCCTTGAAGTCAGAATTATGTGGTGATGAATTCGATATACAGAACTCAGAATAATGCCTTTCTAAGGTTTTTAGAGAATTAGAGGGTAGGGGAGGAGACAAGTTAACTTAATATATAGTTAATATATAAATAATAATATAGTATTAATATAATATATATTAATATATTATAGTAATAATATATAAAATAATAACATAGTACTCTGCTTTTGGCATCAGATTATTTCTAAAGAAGGTTGATGAAAACAGCTTATAACATTTCAAATAATTAAAGTTGTAAATCAATTCAAAATGTCTTAGAAACCACAATTTGCGTAGTTTGCATAATGGATTTGTAAAAGTATATTTGGTAAAATCTCGGAAGTTAGATTTGAGAGCATCTGTACTGAAAGCAGTCTGGTTCACCATAATTGTTGAAAGAGAGAACTGATGAGCAAAATTGATTTACTGTGTTCTTCACCACCTATATTTCATCATTGGTTCAGAATACAAAATGTGTCTTTTGGGCTGGGCACAGTGGCTCACACCTGTAATACCAGCACTTTGGGAGGCCAAGGCAGGAAGATCATCACTTTTGAGGATCAACCAACACAATATACCTTTGGGGCATTAGTCAACATATAGAAAACTATATGTGTATATATAGTTTGTTTTTGTTTTTGTATTTTTATTTTGAGACAAAGTCTTGCTCTGTCGCCCACGCTGGAGTACAATAGCACAATCATAACTCACTGCAGCCTTGAACTCCTGGGTTCAAGGGGGTCCTCCTGCTTCAGCCTCTCAAGTAGCTAGGACTACAGGTGCAGGCTATCACGCCTGGCAAATTTTTTTTTAAGTTTTTTTGTAGAGACAGGATCTCACTGTGTTACCCAGGCTGGTCTCAAACTCGTGGCCTCAAGCGGTCCTCCTGCCTCAGCCTTCCAAAGTACGAGGATTACATGTGTGAGCTACTGCACCTAGCCTAAAATATAATTTTAAATAATATGAGCCCAGAGGAAATTTTATGTCTTTTCTGGATTACAGAAGGCATTTAGAGTGTGCATTGTTTTCTTTGTAAATATGAAAAGAATAAAGAGAATTTTTAATTAATGCTTCTTCTATTCTTATATCTTTTTTTATCCCAGTTTCTCTGTGACATCACTTGAAAATGTTTTTATAATACTTCTTGTTAAGTTTTATTTTCAAGAGAAACCTGTTGGCTCACTATAAATGCTGAATTTCATGAATTATTTCCACTGGTATTTCTTAAACTTGGTAGTTTGAAGCTAAAAATAGCTTCCTGTTGGTATATTAGACAGAAGAAAACTTACCTGGTCTTTCATCCTATCCTATTAAATCTTAGTAGAGAATGTGTTATCAGTCTAATTACGAAATATGTCATTTACAAATATATTTCAAATATTTGCCTTTTTTATGTTCTTTGAGAAGATGACTGACTTCATGATATTTGATTTACTATGAGTGGTATAGGAAAAATGTTTTTCTTACTAAAACCACATGTTCTTACATTGGACTTTTTTTTTCCTCACAGGAAATGCTTTGGTCTTTTAAAAATTAGTCAGAAAGAAAAGGAAAAGTGAAGGCATATGCCTGGAAATGTTACTTAAGTTTTAACTGACTTGCATTCTCATACTAAGTAAAATGAAAAAATTGTTATATCCACCCAATTGTACAACTATAAAATAGGTAAAATTATTAGAAAACAGCAGAAACATTCCTATTCCCTAAAGAAATACCCATAAAACCTTTATGTGCCATAGATGGGGGGAAAGCTGTATTTTATCACCCTTTCATATTTTCGTTTCTCTAGCACTAGAAAGTTTGGGCTTTGGCTCGTACATCAGTGAAGTAAAAGAAGTCTTACAAGAATGCAAGACGGTAGCATTGAAAAGAAGAAAGGCCAGTTCTCGTTTGGAAAACCTCGGCATTCCTGAAGAAGAATTATTGAGACAGCAACAAGAATTATTTGCAAAAGTAAGTAATGCATTTTAAATTATTTTCATCTGAATCCTGCCCTGTTTGCTAGCAGAAATCATACTGATTTCCGAAATCCCTTCCTAAGTCAACGTATATGCCCAGAAGATTCTTTTTCTAGCTAATCGTTTGATTAGAGTCCGATGTTTAGAGCTGGCCAGTTTGACTCTGGTTAATGCAAAAGTAAATATTTGTAGCAATCCGTTTTCTAAAGAGAACAACTCCAAATTACTATTAAGATTTTACTTCGATGTTTTTTTCAGACAGAATGACCATTTAAAAGCATGAAAAGCATATCTAGCAGGGCACGGTGACACATGCCTGTGGTCCCAGCTATTCGGGAGGCTAAGACAGGAGGATCACTTGAGGCCAGGAGTTTAAGGCTGTTTTTTGCCACTGCACTCCGACCTGGGCAACATAGAACCTGGGCAAAGATTCTTTAATATACCTTTAAAACACACTAATTTTTAAAAACAATTTTAAATGCCAGTAGAGCAGAGAAACGGAGAAAACTTTTCTTCTTTCTTAATTGTCAAAATTCTAATGCCTAGTCTGTGAAGTATTAGAACCAAGTACTAATATCCCTTTTTTTAAAAAAAAAAAAAAAAAAAGAAGGGAAAGTATAGGTGAGGCTATTTTTTCCCTACTAAGTTGTGGCCTCTCATTTGAAATTATAAGGCAGTTTTAGGTTGAATAGAAGAGATGCTGTAGTAACCATTAGAACTGGGAAGTGTCATTTTAGGTAAATTCTTCCAGATTAGCTCCAAAGCTAATCTTTCTGCAGCTATAACAATCAGTCTGATTTATACCAAAAAGCATTTGAGTCTTAAGTTGTTATTAGACAGTTAGACACCAGATACCATTTAAACTTATGAGAACAATAAAAGCTTACTAACATTTATTGAGTTCTAACCATGCGTTAATCACATTGCTAAGTAATTTACCTATATTATTTAATTTTCACAACACCTCATGATAGGAACTAAAGTGGAAAAGCCTTCAAAGCAGGCATAAACACATGCAAACAATGTTATAATCCATATGAATATGAAGTATCAAAGAAGGAGTAATGATTTTTTTTAAAAATGATAATGGAGCTGAGCATGGTGGCTCAGGCCAGTAATCCTAGCACTTTTGGAGGCCAGGACGGAAGGATTAGTTGAGGCCAGGAGTTTGACAACAGCCTGAACAAAAGCAAGACTCTGTCTCTACGAAAAATAGAATAGTTAGGTGGCCATGGTGGTGCATGCCTGTAGTCCCAGCTACTCGGGAGGCTGAGGCAGGAGAATCGCTTGAGCCCAGGAGTTTGAGGCTGCAGTGAGCTAAAATGAGGCCACTGAAGTCTAGAGCCCAGGTGACAGAGTGATACCCTGACTCAAAAAACAAAAACAAAAAAATATTAATGGCTCATTTTTTGATTCTCTGCTATTGTAAATCACCTAGAGGGTGCTGGTGCCAAATTAATTATTTGATGAAAAAAAGAAGATGCTTTGCTGGATACTTTACATACCTTACAGAGTTTTTTATGAAATAATATAAATTTTATTATATTTATTTACATAATAAGTAGAAGTGGAGAAGCTTATGTGAAATTATTCATTCGTTTATTCTACAGATATTTACTAAAGTCCTCACTATTTACCAGGCATTGTACTAGATGCTAGGTTTACATCAGTCAACAAAAGAGACATGGTTCCTATCATTATAGAGCTTAGTCTCCTGGGAAAGGTTGACTTAAATAAAACAAGTAAGTTTAGATAGTTAGGAAATGTTGGAGTCTATTTAAACTCATGTCTTCTGACTCCAAAACCTGTATTCTTTCTATAATACCATGCTCTAGCTACCATTTTATCTGCTTAAATTTATTATGGAACTTTTATTTTTATTTTTATTTTTTTTTATTATTATGGAACTTTTAAATAGAATATGCTTTATTCTTGCCAGGGCAAAATGTAAATAAATAATTGACAGGCTGCCACATTTGTCTTCACCACTCCATGCCTATTATCTGTTCTTTATTTCTCTTTATCTCCCTCTTTTCTTACAATGGCATATGGGTGAATATCCTAGTATTTCTTTGCTCTTGTGAGGACAACAAGCAAAGAAGTAAAATTATTGGAGCTGTCTAGTACTTCTTCCCTAGAGCACTAAATACTTAAGTTCTAAACATGAGAGGAACTGATATAATATCTTTTTATCACTTTGATTTTGTTTCATTTTTTAGACTTTATTTTAAATATTAACACAATGACAGCCTCATTTTAAGCTAGTAGCAAGTATTTGAAAACTTAAAGTTAACTGCAAATTAAAAATGAGTCATTTTAATGTGTGGGAGTGAGACTCTTAAAACATAATGAAAATCTCCAAAAGAAGTGAATTAGGAGATATATGCCTACTTACCTCTCTTTCATGCTCCGATTTTAGAAGGAAAATACTTGGAATGGTTTGGGTGGGAGGTAAGAGAAAAAAAAGAAATTAGAGTAAATATCACTGAAATTTTTTTAATTCGTGGAAATGAATATGATTAAGATTGTACCCATTCAACAATTTTTTTTTAAGAAATGGGGTCTTACTGTGTTGCCCAGGCTGGAGTGCAGCGGCTGTTAACAGGTGTGATCATAGCACACTACTGCCCCGAACTCCTGGGCTCAAGCGATCTTGCCTCAGCCCCCCACGTAGCTGGGACTATAGGCGTGCACCGCTGGGACTATAGGCGTGCACCACTGCCCCTGGCTCAACAATAATTTTTAAAGGGCTGGGTAAGGTGGCTCACCCCTGTAATTCTAGCACTCTGGGAGGCTAAGGCAGGAGGATTGCTTGAGGTCAGGAGTTCCAGACCAGCCTGAGCAAGAGCGAGACCTCATCTCTACCAAAAATAGAAAATATTAGCCAGGCATGGGCAGTCCCAGCTACTTGGGAGGCTGAGGCAGAAGGATTGCTTGAGCCCAGGAGTTTGAGGTTGCAGTAAGCTATGATGATGCCACCGTACTCTACCTAGACGTCAGAGCAAGACTCTGTCTCAAACAAAACAAAACAAAACAAAAAACACCAATATTTAAAGACGTAGGAGTGCATTTATGTTCAGAGAAAGGTACAAGAGCTGTTATGGGGCCATGGTACCTAAAAGTCAATTAAATTTGAAATGTAACTAGCACGTGACTTTGCAGACCATTTGATAAATTATAAGATCAAACTCCTTTGCAATAAAACCTTTTTAGAAACTTGAAATTGTTTAAATTTTTTTCCATGTCACAAATTATACCTATTTGTAGTTGATGAGGTCACAAAGTGAGTATTCTTAAGTTGATTAAATTCACATATTTGGCTTGCCCTATCGTTTTCTTACGAGTTCTTGAAATGTTTTTAATGAAGCACTCTTAGCTGATTTTGAACTCTTTGGATATTCCAGCCATAAAAGTAAATATGCCAGTGTGTTAGAATTAACTATATTCCATGTTTCTTTGTAAAAATGGGTGAAAATAGTTATTAGAATACTTGGTTTCTAATTTCCTAAGCAAGTTTTTGTGTACTGTAAAGAATCGTCTTACCCATGTTTTTTCTGATATCTTTAATCTTTTCCCTACTCACTTCTTCCTCTCTGCCTTTAACCATATATGGGTCTTCTGTATCTCCTTTATGCCCCCCAAACCCTTCCGTCTTTTGCTGTAATGATCTATGTTATGAGCCAGGCAAGGTAGAGCCTGCCTGTAGTCCCAGCTACTCTGGAGGCTGAGGTGGGAGGATTCCTTGAGGCCAGAAGTTCAAGGCTGCAGTGCACTGTGATCATGCCTATGAATAGCCATAGACTTCCAGCCTGGGCAACATAGTGAGACCCCATCTCTTAAAAAAAAAATCTGTTATCATCTTCTAAAAACGTATGCCACTTATTCCTGGCATTTAACTTCTGCATTACCACAGAGACAGATAGCTAATCACCAAATTCAGTAACATTTTTTCCCCCTTCAAGTCTCACTCTTCTGGAGTTTTTTTTTTTTTAAATAACTTTTAACACGGACCTCTTTCTTTATTAGTCTCTGATACTATATAGTTGCTTGGATAGCCTTTCTCCAAAGTTACAACTTTTCTTCTTCTGCACTACCACCACTCCCCACTCCTGCCCTTCGAGCAACACATTTCGAGTCAAAATGCAATTAACATGTGAGTCCCTACTGTATATAAGACATATTATATATGGTGCTGCAGATGTAAGGCTATTAAGTATGAAATGTCTGATTTCCTTAAGTACTAAGTTTAACAGTTGATATCTCTGACATTTCACTTTAATACTTGTTTTATTTATATTTTGAATGTGCTCCTCGGTCTTTCAGATGCGCTTGTTGGCTTGTGATTATCTTTCAGATTTTTTTTAGAGCAATTTTTGTGAAACCATGGATAAGTCAAAAATTCATGTTATTTCGAATATGAGTTCTGTCATGGAACCAATGCAGTGCAGACAACTCGAAATATCAACAAAGTGTTTGGGAAGGATGTGGCTAATGAACGCATAGTACATCTATGGTTTGAGAAGTTCTGTTCTAGTGATTTTAATCTTGAAAATGAGCCACATGGGTTACCTAAGACCAAGGTGGATAATGATGAGCTGAAAGCTGTAGTGGAAATGAATCCATCTCAACCTACATGTGAATTAGCAGCAATGTTCGACATTACTATTCCAACAATACTGGACCATTTGAAACAAATGGGCAAGGTGGGAAGCTGGATACATGGATTTTGCATGAATTAAACGAGCATCAGAAGAGAAATCGTCTGGAAGTTTGCCTTTCTTTGCTGTCCTGACATAAAGGTGAACCATTTCTATACCGTATTACTACATGTGATGAAAAATACATTTTTTTTTTTTTTTTGAGACAGAGTCTTGCTCTGTTCCCTGGGCTAGAGTGCCGTGGCGTGAGGCTAGCTCATGGGAACCTCAAACTCCTGGGCTCAAGCAATCCTTCTGCCTCAGCCTCCTGAGTAGCTGGGACTACAGGCATGCACCACCATGCCTGGCTAATTTTTTCTATACATTTTTAGTTGTCCAGATCATTTCTTTCTATTTTTTAGTAGAGACAGGGTCTTACTCTCGCTTAGGCTGGTCTTGAACTCCTGACCTTGAGCGATCCTCCCTCCTGGGCCTCCCAGAGTGCTAGGATTACAGGCGTGAGCCACCACGCCTGGCTTAAACATAGATTTTTTTGACAATCAAAAGCATTCAGCACAATGGTTGGATAAAGACAAAGTGCCAAAACACAATCCAAAACCGAATACTCATCCAAGAAAGCTAATGGTGTCTGTTTGGTGATCCAGAACTGGTATTATCCACTACAGCTTCATGAAACCCGGTCAGTCAGTTACAGCAGATGTCTACTGCAGCCAACTGGACAGAATGATGAGGATGTTTGCAATTCAGCAGCCAAGATTGGTCAATAGAGACAGGCTAATCCTCTTGCAAAACAAGGCTCACCCACGTGTCGCACAAACAGCGCTGCTCAAACTATAGCAGCTGGACTTGGAAACTCTCTTGTCTTCCACCGTATTCAGTAGACCTTGCACCAACTGACTACCACTTCTTCCAGGCTTTTGGACCACTTCTTGCAAGGAAGTATATTCAATTCTCAACAAGCTGTGAAAAATGCCTTTCTTGATTTCATTACCACTCACTCTCCAGGTTTCTTCATTGCTGGCATAAACATGCTACCATTAAGATGGCAAAACTGTGTCGATAGTTTAGGCAGATACTTTGATTAATTGTACTGCTTCTTGTTTGAGGTATAATAAACTGTACTTCTGATTTGTAATAGAACATTTCATATTTAATGACCTAATACAATAATGAAGAATACATCATTTTTAAGAAAGTTAGTATCTTATGGGGGAGTTATGATATAGATACACTAACAACTGTATTATGAAGCTGACTACTCTCATGAGAAAGATCCCAAGTGCAGAGACATCACATCAGATTTTGGGGGTGCACCTGTAGCTTAGGGTTCTCTTCTCGCTTTTTCAGTTGCCTAGTACCGGCTTTATATTTGGTTAACAATTCTTTTTTTTTGAGACAAGGTCTCGCTCTGTTGTCCACGTTGGAGTGCAGTGGTGTGATCATAGCTCGCTGCAGCCTTGAATTGTTGGCCTCAAACAGTCCTCCTGCCTCCACCTCTCAAGTCACTAGGAGTACAGGCACATATCACCATGCCTAGCTAATTTTTCTATTTTTGTAGAGATGGGGTCTCGCTATGTTGCCCAGGCTGGTCTCAAACTTCTGGCTTCAAGCAATCCTCCCACCTCAGCTTCCTAAAGTGCTGGGATTACAGGCATGAGCCACTGCCCAGCAACAATTCTCTTTTTTTTTTTTTTTTTTTTTTTTTTGAGACAGAGTCTCACTCTGTTGCCCTGGCTAGAGTGAGTGCCGTGGCGTCAGCCTAGCTCACAGCAACCTCAAACTCCTGGGATCAAGTGATCCTACTGCCTCAGCCTCCCGAGTAGCTGGGACTACAGGCATGCGCCACCATGCCCGGCTAATTTTTTCTATATATTTTTAGTTGTCCAGTTAATTTCTTTCTATTTTTTAGTAGAGACGGGGTCTCGCTCTTGCTCAGGCTGGTTTCAAACTCCTGAGCTCAAACAATCCGCCCGCCTCGGCCTCCCAGGGTGCTAGGATTACAGGCGTGAGCCACTGCGCCCGGCCAGCAACAATTCTTTATGTTAAGTTCTTTCTGTTCCCATGACAGTGTTACTTCTATCTCCTGATTACACACTGACTGATACCAGGAGGAGAGAATAGTATTTCAGTTTGACTTGGAAGAAAGGTGGAATTTTAATAGATGAAAATCAGGAAATTTCAAAGAGAATGAATGTCAGCATGAGTAAAGGTAGCGAAGATGAGAAAGTATGGTGTATATTTGGGAAACATTTTATGTAGAGGTTGAGATAGGCACTAATTTGGAGGACCATGAACTCTAGGCTGAAATATTTGGACTTAATTTGTAACAAATGATTTTTTTTTTAAGGAAAATAATGACCTGATTAGATAGAGTTCTCATCTAGAAATGTTTGGATAATAAAGTTGTGACAGATTATTAAGAAAAGTGAGGATTGTACAGGTAAAATCTTAATATTAGAGGTTATGCTGAGCATCACTATTTTCCCATAATTCATTCATTCTGAAAATACTGAGGGCCTGTGTGTTAGGAATGCCATAATGAATAAGAAAACAATCTCTATTCTCAAGTCTGGTGGAGAAAAAAAAATATAAACTTAGATAATTATAAATCAAAGTAGATAGATTTGGGAATGCATAGAGAATTATGGCATATGAAATAGAGCACAAAATCTGGGCCAGAAAGGTCAAGAAAGACTAACTGATTTGCGTTTCAAATGATAACTAGAAATTAGCTATGCATAAAGGAGGATTGGAGCCAGATTTAAAGAACAATCAGAAAAGGCAAAGAGGGAGAAACATTGTTTTGTCAGAGTCTAATAAGAAATTATAAGACCTTTTCAAGAACAGTTTCATTTTTCCCTCCTTGGTATGGTTTTTCTGCTAACAGGTGAAACTAAATTGAGAAGGAGCCTTAGATGTTGCATATATTTCGTATGTATGCATATTTTCATTTCTAAAATCCTGTGGTTGCTTTTATAGAGGATATGTCAGAGAATGAATTTTAACTAGTTACATTTTCACTAGTGTTTATATGGGAAGGGTATATAGATTTCTGTGTGTTTACATTGTGTGTATTTATAGAGAGAGGGAATGAGACCCAGAGAAAGAGATGCATATATAGGGTGGGAAATTTTAATTGAAACCCAGAAAGATATCAAGCATCATGCAGAGTACTTTTTCCCTAAGAGTTAAAGGTACTGTACTAGAGAAATTTTAAACCGCATAAATGAATTTCAGATTGAAAAATGTTTACATCAAAATTGTAATTTGAGGGGACAGAAGAATCAAGTGAAATGAAAAGAGAGGAAAGGAGCCAAAGAGAGAATATTCTGATTTTTCTGTCAACCTTTTCAATTGAACCAAATGTCATAAATTATGTGACATAAAAGAGAACCATCTATAGAGAACCAAGCTTGGGAAACTCCTTAGACCTGTGTGGTTGACAGAAAAGCAATCTGTAATTATATTTTCTTGTAGAGTTCCATGTTCTCCAGATATATGAGAATTACATAGTAGTTGCAAAATATCCAAGTTTGATAATGACTAAGTCTGTAATTGGCTTAATCAAAGTGTAAGTTTAACCAAAGTATATATATATTGTGGATTTAAACAAAATTATTGTTTGTCTTTGTGTTTTTGGTGTTTAGGCTAGACAGCAACAAGCAGAATTGGCCCAACAGGAATGGCTTCAAATGCAGCAAGCTGCCCAACAAGCCCAGATTGCTGCTGCCTCAGCCAGTGCATCCAATCAGGCAGGATCTTCTCAGGATGAAGAAGATGATGATGATATCTGAAATTCACCAGCTGAGTTTCTATTTCCTCTATAAATGTTTTTCCCTGCACAAAAAAAAAAACAGTGAAAGAAATGCTTATCTGTAATTTTGTATGCATCTTGGTGGACTTGCCATTGGTATTCTAGGGATGTCTGCTGTTAAGTTTCATCTATTGTGTGTTATACATGTAAAACCTGTCTCTTTGAACTATTGAAAATTTAAGGTTCAGTGTAATATCAATTTTGGATTTTTAATGGTGTTTATGACATTTTAGATAGCAGTGAGTCCTTTATTTGATCAATAAACAGTGTTACAGAAAACTTCAAGTTTATAAAAATACAGTGAAATTTATACGGAAGCTCTAAATCTGCATTTGCATTTCCTCTGCCCTTTTAACTAAACTAAAAATTGGGAATTTTAAATTATTGAGGGGGGTACTAGGTTAATCCGTAGACATTGGATGAGGTTGGTAAAGAGAGTTCAGCTCTGGAGTATCTGAACTTCATCTTTTAAAATGAGTGTGTGTGTGTATATATATATATGCAATAAATATATATGCTCAGATAAATATACTTGTTTAGAAAACCTCAAAACAAGACCTTCAAAACTAGGAAGGAGTATGTTCAATACTAGTTATATAAATTTGGTGGGTTATGTTTATTGTTTTTGTTTTGCGTAGAGGTAAAAACTAAAGTTTTATCATGGCATAATTCATCTTGAGCTACACTATGACATTTCAAAGACTGCCCATTTTTGAGAACTGTTATGATTCTTACTGTTTCACAACAATTCAATAATTGTTAATAGTATTACTTGCTTAGTCCATCCATGCTTATATTATTCAGATATATAGGTGGGACTTGTGAAACAATTGCTTGGGTTCCGCTGGTTTAACTGAGGTTCATGAATATTCAAACCTTTGCCGGGGGAAAGAAAGAAAAGTTAATGAGCATGCTTGCTATGAGAGAGGGATTTTTTTTTTAATTTAACTTGTAGTTATACTTATTGTTTGTTTTTAGCATTACTTTTACATTTTCTTGACTAGATAGCCTAGAGTCCAGCACTACCTTTGAAATTGCATTGTCTCCTTCATCTTGAGTGATAGCTTTAAAAAAGATTGGTTTTGTTTAAGAAAGTGTGTCATAACTGATCAGCCCTATATGAAACATAGTTTCAACCTGCTTGTTAAAAGAGAGAAGCTTTAATTTGGTTCCAGTAAATAAAGTATAGTAGTGATTATAGGAATCCAATGTGTTGAAGAAATGGCATAGTATTTATATTTTGGAAACAGAAAGAAAAAGTCACTTAAGATAGTATGAAGTAATTAAATTCCTATGTCAATTGCCAAATAATTTAAATTTCTATATTTACCAAGCCCAAAAATATATTGTGGCTGCCAGGATTCCAATTATAATTGGAGAGCTAAATAAGTAAACTTTTATAAGTATTACATTTCTTAATGATCGTATTTTGCAGTTTTAGAAAAAGGGAAATACTATATGTTTATTAAATATACTTCTACTCATGTAACAAAAAGGTTAATTTTGCTGAATGTTTTAAGTTGAAGTTACTTCATGGATGTCATATCCCTGAAGTGCATTTAGGTGAGATAGAGGAATTGTTTTTCAAGAAGTTTAAGTACCAAAGGTAGTCTAGTCTAGAAAAATAATAAGTTAATAAATGTTGGCTTTTCTAACTTGTACTGTAACATCCTTATACTTTCTATTTTAAGTATATCTGTTTCTTAAGTAAACAACTTAGATATTTTCCCACACCTTTTTTTTTTCTGATGCAGAGTTCAGGTTAATTAATATTTTACTGCATCTGATAATGTATTATATGTTTGAAGCCTAGTGACTTTTTATTTTGACATTCTTGTGATTTCATGTGCTGTATTCTTCAAGCAATAAAATTCTGATGTGTTTTATAAATTGTTTTTATATTTAATGATCTATAGACAGATTTCTATTATTATCATTTTTATTAGTTTAAAGAATGTTAGACTCAAAAGACATTTTGGTCATTTAGCATATAGTACCTGCCTTTCTCCTTTGTTTAATGTTATTTCAGAAAATGTGGCTTTACTTGTGTTTTTGTAATTCATGGTCCTAGCATTGAAGCATAACAAAGCTACTTAAGCAGTATTTTACTTTTAGCTTATTTTTTAGCATTTATGAGTCAGTATTTTTCCAGTTGTTAAATATTTTTTAGTCTTTTGCAGAGAGAAACAAAATCTTTAGTGTTCTTAAGAAATAAAGTTATTGTTTAGTATTTTTCCATCCTCTTGAATATATATCTGTCTTTTTCAGCAGATTATCAGATTGATAAATGTTGAAAAGACACCAATTTTTAAAACTGCATATACCATACACACAGAAGAGTACACAAATAAAGGTTTTCACAAATTAAACTCATGTCATCAGCCCTCAGATCAAAACACAGAGCGTATGAGCTCCACAGAAGCCCTCCCTCTTGCCCCTATTTTAACATTATTTTCTTCCTCCCCAAAAGTAACAACTATCCTAACTTCTAAAACCATAGATTAGTTTAGCCTGTTTTTATTTTATATAAATGTAATCATAATATACTTTTTTCGTTCATCAGTTTTTGTGAATATATTAGTTTCCTATTGCCACTGTATCAAATTATCACAAACTTAGTGATTTAAAACAACACAAATATATTCTCTTACAGTCTTGGAGATCAGAAGTCCAAAATCAGTTCATTGGACCAAAATCAAGGTATCAGCGGTAGGGTTGGTTCCTTCTTGAGGTTGTGAGGGGAGAATCTGTTCATTGCCTTTTTCAGCTTCTAGTTACTCCCTGTATTCATGGGCTTGTGGCCCCTTTCTCGATGATTAAAGCCTGTTTTTGTCATTACATCATCTTTTCTTCTGTAGTCAGATTTTCCTGTGCCTATACTTTTAGGGCCCACCCAGATAAATCAAGTTAATCTCCCTATCTCGAATCTTTAATTTAATCGTATCTGCAAAATCTCTTGCTGTCTAGAGTGACATTCACAGGTTCCAGGAATTAGGACTCTGGATATCTTTGGAGGCCATTATTCAACCTACCAAAGTAAGATTCATCCATATTGTTACATGTATTTATAGCTCATTCATTCTCATTACTGTAATGTGTTCCATTTATTTATCCATATTTTATTATATCCAAAAGTTATTATCCATTCTTCCACTAATGGTCATTTCAGGAATTTCTAATTCTGGGCTATTATGAACAGTGCTGTGGAGGATATTCTTTTGTGTGTCTTTGGTGAGTGTATGCATTTCTGTTGAATATATATCTAGGAGTGGAATTGCTGGGTCATGGGGTGTGCATATTTTTAGTTTTAGTATGTATTTTCTGTCAAACAGTTTTCCGAAGTGTTTATAAGCAGGCACCATTTTAGTGTGTACCGTGATAATGAATTACCCTAATGGCATAGTAGCCTGAGACTGTTAATGAATTTCTCCAAATACCTAAATTATACCAAATGAGTCGTACTTCTACAGCAGGTCTGTTGTTATTTAATATCATATAAGAGGAAAATAGAAGCAAAAATATTTATTCTTGTTACTGACACGTTACTATTATCCACTCATTAGGTTTATTTCTCAGAAGAAATGCAAGTTTTAGGTAATCATAAATAATATGTTAAGCTTATAAACACTATGTTTAGTTGTGGTTTAATTTTTTAATTGAATTTTTAAATTTTGGTTATAACCTTATTAAAATGCATGATATTTCCTCATATAGGTCTCTAAATTATGTCTAGCTAACTCATATATATCCAAATGACCATCAGGAAGAATCATCCAATCCAGAAGGCATAGGCACTGCCTTCCACTGTCTTCACTTGGATTTTTTTTCTTTCCTTCTCTGTGTCCCCAATAGCTTCACTTCAAGTCCTATCCCACCTCGTCTATTTTTCACCTTGCCTCAGGATATAAAGTATCATAGGTAGGATTGACCAGCATGAAAAGAATGACAGCATAAGTCCTTATCCATCAAAATAAACTGAGAAGAGAAAGTAGGGAATAAAAGGAGGAAACTTTTAGAGATACGGTCTCACTGTGTTGCCCAGGCTGGAGTGCGGTGATTATTCACGGGTGTAATCATAGCAAACTTCAGCCTTGAACTCCTGGGTTCCAGTGATCTAAAAGGAGGAAGCCTTTAACTTATGATCAATTTCTACCATAAATCAAGCAACTTAGTAAAGGCTTACAACAGGATTTCTCAACCTAGCATTTTGGGCTGGTTAATTTTTGTTGTGAGAGGCTATCCTGTGCATTGTAGGATCTTTAACAGCATCCTTGGCATGTACCATGCATGTAGCAGATGCCAGTAGCATCCCTCCCCACCCCACACCTAGTTGTGACAACCCAAAATTGTCTCCAGACATTCCCAAATGTCCCCAAGGGGGACAAAATCGCCTCCTGTTGAAAACCACTGCCTAGAAAACATCTAGGTTTTACTTTTAGGGCACTCGGGGAATGGCCATGAAACTGAACTTCTGTTAGAAGCAGCACACAGTGTCACTGGAGAAAGACAAAAAGAAATATGATTTAGAGAGAGTAGGCCCAGGATTGAAATGTGTTTCCAGGGAAGTCAAATCTTAAAGGAGGCTCTTGACTTCACATCTGCTGATCTCACCCCATAGGGCCCAGTCCAGTTACAAATCTCTCTACTAGCTTACTGCTTTTCCACCTCAGTGCTAACCACACCCAGTTTGAAACAGGTATACTATCTCACTACTATGTAGTACATTTTTAATAAGCATGTTACTTAAACTTTTTACTGTGGTTAAATATACCATGAAATTTACCGCCTTAATCAGTTTAAAGTGTTCAATTCTGTGGCATGAAATACATTCATATTGTTGTGTAACCATGACAACCAACCATCTATAGAATTCTTCATCTTCCCAAATGGAAACTTTGTACCCATTTAACAATAATTCCCAATTATCCCCTCTCTCCTCAGTCTTGGGTAACCACCATTCTGTTTTTTGTCTCTATGAATTGGACTACTCTAGATTCATAGAGTAGGCAGAATCATATAGGCAGAATCATGCTTATTTCACTTACCATAATGTCTTCAATGTTCATTCATGTTGTAACATGTATCAGAATTTCTTTCCTTTTTTTTTTTTTTCTGAGACAGGGTCTTGCTCTGTTGCCCAGGCTAGAGTACAATGGCATCATCATAACTCACTGCAGCCTCAAACTCCTGGCCTCAAGCAATCCTTCCATCTAAGACTTCCAAAGTTCTAGGATTACAGGCATAAGCCACCATGCTCGACCTAGAATTTCCTTCCTTTTAAAGGCAGAGTAATATTCCATTGTGTGTATGTATCACATTTTGTTC